CAAGCTGCAATTGATGATTGAATGCATATTGGCTCCTAATTACACTACACTGCAAAAAATATGGAATCAGCTGTCATACATTATCACAGTGTTACAACAATCTCCAGATGTCAAAAAAGAAAGCAATCTCTACCCACTGCAAAAATCTCTCAAATTCACAAGAAGAACAGCTCCTTTTTCATATCAATCAATTGGCAGATTGCAGTTTCCCTTGTACACCCCAAATCCTGCATAATCTTGTTATTGAGATTCTAAAATCGCCTGTGAGAGTCAACTGAGTGCCACAGTTCTATCAATGCCTGTAAGAAATCCCCGCTCCTCGCGGATCCTTTACCTCTATTCCAATCCCTTGTGTAACCAATAGGGTTAGCGGCCCTTGGCTACACACAACCTATATACTCCGTAGACAGGAGTTCATGACTACTATTCACAACTCAGCTTGAAGGCTATTATTATACACGATTGCATGAATATACACGCCAACCGCTCCACCACGAACTCGCTCAATTTTTCGAATAAGAACCCGCCGATAGATCCATCGAACAGCCCTCGATCATACGAGCATTTTGACCCCAACGCCGACCACATACCCCGTCTGGTGGTGGAGTTATTCAACCAAACGTGGTTGGAAGCCCCCGCGTGGGATTTTCCCCCGTCCACCCCTACCACACCACAACCCCGGGTCGAATTGCCATACAAATTGTAAGGTGAAGAGACCCAGCCCTATCTTACAATCTTCGCAATTTTGGAAGATCCCCGACCATTGATTGTGAAGATATTTGAAGAAGAATCTCTGTGAAACCCTGTCTGCTCTTGATGTTTCAAAACATCAATGCCAAGTCTCACTCACATAATGTAATCAACCACCTAGACTGGCCGCTGGGACCATGAATTTCACATTTGGTCTCATTTGATCTGGTCTCATACATTTCTTGATGTGAATCCTGCTGAGACTAATCATTAAAAAAACATGTAAAGTAACTATTTATCAGATCTCAAAATGAGATCATGACTTAGAAAAAAGAAGAAAGTAATCTCATTTAATCTCATTTAGTCTTATTCTTAGTATAAAGTTATTATTTTTAGACATTTTAAGATTTTTTTTAGACAATTTTTAATTTTTTAAAAAGTAATACTTTTTAATAACACTTAAATGAGATTTAAAGTTATTTAAAGTAATAAAAAGAATTTAAATTAAGAAGTAAAAATCATAATCTTATTTAAAAAATATAATAAGAGTAGATAGTAAGTCTTACTAAGACAGTATAAGACTACTATTTAATCTTAAAACTATGTAATAAGATTAGTTAAATTAATAATAAAACTGTTAAATATTCTGATTCTGACTTTAAATATAATTATATAGTTAGTCTATAATCATCTATAAACTGACTGTTAAAACTATAAATTTTATATTTAATCTCATTTAATCTGATTTTATATATTTCTTAATATGAGTCTCTGTCATGCTTCCAGCCGTATCAAGACTCTGTTACAGTTTCACACAGCTTATCACTTCTTTGTGAATGATTTCATTCATCTCACAGACTGTTTAAACTGATTTTCAATCACTCTATGATATTATTCAGATATATTATAGAAAGATCTGATTAATAAATATGAGAATCTTACTTCTATACAAGATCAGTAGATTACTCTTTCTTAACAGTGAGATACTGCTGAGATATCACTTCAGCTATTCTCACTCATGAAATAAGAGAAGAGTATTCACTCATTATCTATATAGAATAGCTAGATACTGACTTTTTATTAAAGAAGTCAGTAATTCATTTTTCTTCTACTGAAATATATATAAGAGTTACTACATTTCTCATACAATCTTCTTAGTATATTAAGTATTATATCTGTGATATTCTTATAATAACTCTGTAGTCTATAAGCTCACTATTTAAACAAGATAGTTAAGCTCACTTATATAGCTTCTTAAACAACTACTTCTATATAATACTGCTAATTAGTCATCACTTCAGTTTCATTATATTACAATTTAAATCACTTAATCTGATTATAAGTTTGAATCAGTTAAGCTCTATTAACAGACTGATATAATCTCATACATCTATGCTGAAACTGATTCAATCTCACTCTCTGAGAGAAACTTCACATTATTTTCTAGAGTGTATATATCTCTATCTTATCAGAAATCTGAGATTTCTGAACTTACTGTGTATTTTGATATAAGCTCTTTAACTGCTCTGCTACTATTATAGCCTCTACACATCTATATCTATTATAAAGATAAAGAGATTAAAGTCAGAGATTCACTGAGTTATAAGAGAAATACATTATCTGAATTTCACAGCTTTATCTATACTCTTGAACAGAAATTCTGCCTTAATCTAAGCTAGTTTAATACTCATGAGATATAAGTAATATACACTGTCAATCTTCTTGAAGATATCTCTGTAACTACTTGAGTTATCAAGAAGAGAGAGCTTAAGTGTATCAATACTGTAAGAGGCCTACGCTGAATAGATCGGTATTATATTAATAGGTCTTATTTAACAAAGATAAAAACATTAAAGAAGAAAAGAAAGAGAAAGTGCGAGAATCAGTGATCAAGATGAATATTTATACATATATGTGATAGTGTACACAGTGGAGCTTCAGGGCGGAAGAATATACACATGTTTATAGCAGCTGAGAATTGGCAATCAAGAATGGCTGAGAATTGAAGCATATACATTCATGGCGGCTGAGGATTGGTGATCAAGAATGGCCGAGAATCAGAGTGTATGTGAAATCTGTGAAGTGTAACAGAATAGTCTATATGATTGATCAGGCACAGCTCATCACATTAGCTCTTTCTTTTCAGAAGCAGTTTTCATCAGTCAAGAGCCACTGTTTCAGATAACATGAAACTCAGAGTTCAGGTCAGTTAATCATAGCTGACTCATTTCATAAGATATTATCAGTCACAGCTGTATAATCTCTTATCAAGAATTTCTTTAATCTCTTACTCAAGTTCATTATCTTCTTCTATGATCTCTGGCAGTTGTCAGTCAGAAGTCAGTTAAGAAGAGAACAGATCAGTGATAGTGTAGTTGAAGCAAGCTTGTATGAAATACATTATAAATCTCTGATAATGTGTTAAGACAGTAGTTATGACTATCTAGAACTTCTATTACTTTATATCTGATGTAATAGTAATCTAGTGTACAGAATGAACATGTGATTTGTATATTCTTAAGATTCAATTATATCAGATCTTCTATCTTATATTGTTCAGTGAGATCTCAGTGAATATTGATTTGATTCTC